TTAAAGGTTATCAAAACAGCAAATTTTCCGCCGGGGGCATCTCTTGTGATTCGATTACCGCATGCATAACAAGATCGACTAACATAATAAATCTTTGTTAGGCACGCCGCGCACTCGCTTGATAAAAGTCGCACTGCAAGGTAACACTGACATGCTAGACATAAAAATGATCCCGCCGCGGACGTAAAATGTTTCGTTTCTTTCTTCCGTGTCTCTTATATGCCTTTTCATTGTTTCTGTATATCTCGTGACCACTTTCATGAGTCGTGACCTAAGTTATGATCAGTTAAACTTCTTTTGTGACAGAGTAACTGCTGACAAACGAGTAGATTGTTAATCATACTGTATCTAACGTCTTAGATCTTGCGAGTGATTTTAATGTGCAATAATGTAAAATACTTGATAAAAAGTAGGCGATTCTAAATGAATGGACGTCTGAAATTTATCTCCACAGCTAAAATAGGGAAGCCCTCCCTCAATTGGCCCCAGCAACATGACAATGACTACACCCAACCTACCCACCTGGCAGGGGTGTAGGAATGATTTTGACTTAGAAGATTTTCGGTCCGAGTCATTCTCGATACGTACCTCTGAAATCAGAGCTCCCGCTTCCGAGCTTGAATTGCGAAGGGGAGGCCTGTCGTCCGAGATCGCATTACAAAGGGAGAAAGGGGAACCCTCGAGTGCAAAATCGTACATCGAGGGGTGGGTGCGAACTTCGAAAACCGAAAAATATATTGTCGGCTCATCATGATCAGGGTAGCATGAACCATGAAAAAAAGTAGTTACCAAGAAAACTTTGAAAATTTTTGACTTAGAAAATGTTCGGTAAAAAAACCGAAAAAATTTATATTTCCCAAAAATGTTTAGAAACCTAAGTTAAAAAGTTGGCCCCTTGCCCAGATTTTATAGGGGGGGGGGGGGGGGGGGGGGGGGGGGGCGATGGCCCATTGGCCCCCCCCCCCCTGCCCCCCGCTTCCTACACCCCTGTCACCTGGGAAAACCTCAGGTATATTTTAGTCCAGCAATACTGTATAAGTAAGGACCGGTCACTATACCGGTTTATTTTATGATCCGAGTTCAGGAGCCTGATTTCATTACAACATCCCGTACCTGGCACTCCTACAACACCAGGCCATTCCGGGAGTATTGGTTGCGTAATGAGTAAACCATATTTGTTTGACACGTGAAAGTGGTCCTAGATTTATATTGGTTGCTGATTGGTTATTCCCTGTCACTTGCCAGAAAAACGCGATTCACCTCCGCCTCCCCACCAGTATCTAGATCTAGACTCCGACTAAAAGGTACTAAAAAATACTTCACTACTCTTTGCTAATTCAGTATTAAATGTTACTCCATTATTTGTATTAAATGGTTGACGTATTTCCGTTTTGATTCATTAAATATTTTTGTTCGTCCGATCCTTTTCAACAATATAAATTAAACAATTGTTGTTTTGAAGAAAAGTAAAATGGCAATATTTTAATTGTAATTTCAATCGTTGCCTGAATTTAGTCTGGACGAGGTCATGACTTGCATCCGTTCACATGTATCACGAAGGTTCCGAAGGTTGTTTTTCTGGTTCCATATGTCACCGTGTAGACTCCTTCATCCTCACAGGTAAGATATCCATTATCCGGTCTCCACTAGTCCCGTCAAACCAGTCCCGGCCTCCTCTGGAATGCTCATTAAGAGGGGGGGGGGGTTCACCCTGATTTTTTTGTGAAACTTGGTTTCGAGATAGCAGTTGACCAACAAACTAGGACCAGTGACCGCCAAACGGTGCCCGCGGGGCAGCCACGCCCATATTTGGTCCAAATTAGGCCCAATTTATCGAAATACCCTGAACGTTTCCAAAATCCAGATTTTAGGTGCTCTACTTGTAGCTAGTGGTCCCCTGAACTCGTATATGAAATTTCATCAAGATTGGACAAAAAATGATTGAGTTATGTTGACCAACAAACTAGGACCAGTGACCGAACTTTTGAGGGGGTCCCGGACCCCAACCGCCAAACGGTGCCCGCGGGGCAGCCACGCCCATATTTGGTCCAAATTAGGCCCAATTTAGCCAAATACACTGAACGTTTCCAAAATCCAGATTTTAGGTGCTTTACTTGTAGCTAGTGGTCCCCTGAACTCGTATATGAAATTTCATCAAGATTGGACAAAAAATGATTGAGTTATGAGCCAAAAACCATAAGACCATATTTGGGCATACGCACCAAATTTGATCGATTTTGGCCCATAAATTGGTTAAATATCAATATTTTTGAATGAAACCAACTTTATATGGACGGTAAGCTTATACTACACATTATCTATGATTATCAGCTCAGTATCTACCTAACTGTGGATTCTGTGTTCAAATAATCGCAAAAAATGAACAAAATCGCCCATATCTCAGTTCGCGATATTTGCAAAACTGATTTCGCTCAAAGCAATAGAACTCAATAGGGTTTCAATATTTTTACATGAAATTTTCAGAATCAACGTAGAATCGCATTTCGACCTTAAGTTTTGGGACAGAATTTTGAGTTAGGCCTTTAAAAAAATTTAGAATTTGGCCGCCAAATTTTTTAAAGGCTTAACTCAAAAGTCTGTCCCAAAATTTAAGCATGTTAAGGTCATGAGACAATTCTACGTTGATTCTGAAAATTTCATGAAAAAATGTTGAAACCTTATTGAGTTCTATTGTTTTGAGCGAAGTCAGTTTTGCAAATATCACGAACTGAGATATGGGCAATTTTGTTCATTTTTTGCGATTATTTGAACACAGAATCCACAGTTAGGTAGATACTGAGCTGATAATCATAGATAATGTGTAGTATAAGCTTACCGTCCATATCAAGTTGGTTTCATTCAAAAATATTGATATTTAACTAATTTATGGGCCAAAATCGATCAAATTTGGTCATATGGTTTTTGGCTCATAACTCAGTCATGTTTTGTCCAATCTTGATGAAATTTCATATACGAATTCAGGGGACCACTAGCTACAAGTAAAGCACCTAAAATCTTGATTTTGGGCATGTTCAGGGTATTTGGCTTAATTGGGCCTAATTTGGACCAAATATGGGCGTGGCTGCCCCGCGGGCACCGTTTGGCGGTTGGGGTCCGGGACCCCCTCAAAAGTTTGGTCACCGGTCCTAGTTTGTTGGTCAACTGCTATCTCGAAACCAAGTTTCACAAAAAATCAGGGTGAACCCCCCCCCCCCCCCCCCCCTTAAGGTAACTTTGAAGTCCGGTTCTTGGAAGGGCCAGGGTATGGAATTCCCGTTCATGTCCTCTATCTTTTTCAAACGAATCTCAGATTTGGAAAGAGGTTTGTTAGTTTTGCTAAGAGCAAAAACTTTAAATCGGAAAATATAGGACATTTTTTGGTAAGCTTCATGGTATTCTTTCACCTCGACGCGAGCCCTTGGTCGTGGGCTCGCTACCACTTGGTCTTTGCACCCATTCACCTCGAGGAAGAAATTCACTTGGTATGGTCCTGAAGGTGGTACTGGAACTCTGCAGCGGTACCAAGGCAAAATTTCTTAAGATCTGAATATATGATTTTGTTGAAACTTTCCAGATAGTTATATAGTTATAAAACGGAAAATATGTGCAAGTTTGGGTAATCTTCTATGTGCTAAATTTGTTGATATCACTTCAAACACAAGAAAACATCTCCAAATGGGTGGTTTGCATTGTATTCAGGATATTCCGAACCCGTGATTGATCACGTGATCAAAATTTAAAACTATATTTGCAAAAGTCAAAAGGTGTGTGGCATGATTAGTGCAACAGATCCAGGGATTATAAAATACGTAAATCTTTGGCAAAAAATGCGTACTGTATTTTTTGTCGTATTTAAAAAATACGAATGCAGTAATCAGACACCTTGTCTTTCAAAGAACCTCTATCTTGCATGATTGTCTAGAATGTCTAGCCACACACGATCTTTTCTGCTGCCTCTTCAACTTCCTGCGAGAGTTGTTTTGGTTTCTCCAGTTTTACCCAGCCTGTCAACCACTTATCGAGACTTTTGTGGTGATCCAGTTAGTTTTCTTGAAACAAGATCCTTGAATAATTTCCCAAAGCCTGCATTTACTGGTTGCTATAAGACGGTTACACCAGGACTCAGGAGGGCCATACTATTGAGGCTCTCAACTGTCTCTTTCTGATATAGAAAGATTTGCCCTTCAACCATCACCAGTCACACAAATACCCTGTCCCTACATTCGCGACTGATAACCCGAAGCTATTGAATTAAATCTCACGAGGTTGACGAGGGAGGTATTCTCGCTAGTATCTGCTGTGGCGGTGAAACTCTAAGAATTCCATGATTAAACTTAAACCTTCTGTTTTTGTAAACATTCCGAAAAATATCACACACTTGTTCATTCTGACTAAAGGTGTGCACCATGAATATGAAATTATCTTACAATCATCAACCATCAATATCGATATCGTTCGCAAGTAAACACGTGGAATGAGTTAGCACAATACTTCTATAACATCATTATCCATGGACAACATGGTAGCATCATGAATCATCGCAGAAGCATTTGATTAAATGAACTTAGAGCGCTACGAAGCTATCTTCACTACTGTAATGATATTGATCGAACGTTGCGTTTTATTAAAGAAACTGTTTTACTATAGCTAGGGCTATATTTTTTAGACGGGTGCTTATTAAGTTATTATATCAAATGTATTTTAAGCATTATATTTGCACATTGAATCCCTAGGCTTATTTACCTCAATGCTCAGTGATATATTATTTTTATCACATGATTTTTCAATATTATTATTGATTGTGAAAAACTCAACTATTTCTGAAAAACATCGGTTTTTATTGCAATGATAGTTTCCCAAAAATCAAAATTTACCGTAAATCAAAATGACTTTCATTCGAAAGTTTTGAAGTTTTGCACGACAGTTTTATATAAATACAATCAATTAGCCTTCTTTTATCATTGTTATTGTTTGTTTTTTCATCAACTGATATCACATACCTCCATTATTTGCCTTTCCGGAATCAGGACACTCTTCTGTCTTGAAGCTTTAACTTTCTCATGAAGGGAACCTCTCGCACAGTAATCCTGCACAAGAAAATGAAAAAATAATCACATCACGTCTACGTTATGATTGAAAAAAATAGGCTTGCATTTGAAATCAAGAAATTTAATTTAACCACTCAACTTATTCTCCAACAGTTTGTAATAAATTCCATTTAAACGACCTACCTGAATGATGAATAAGTTGTCTTGTTTTCTGTCGAAAAACGCTTCAAGATAGTGGACAATATGAGGATGATCTAATTTCTGGAGTATTTGAACCTGATTGGTCGAGAAAATAGTCAGTTTTAAAAGGGTTAGAGCCAGCTTATTATTTATTCGATTTTAATCTGTCAGCATTGCTGACTCAGCAACTTCTAATGACAATTCAATGGTAAGGTACAAGTTCCGAGATTTTTAATGGGGAACATGGCATCCAAGAAGCAAACAAGTCGGTTTAATGTTGTAATGTAATGATGATGGACATCATCTATGACCTTATTCGCTGGTAAATACAAACAATCAAGGAGGGTCTAACAAGAAACTCATTACCACCATTAATAAGGTCCAAGAAGACATGTCATCATCATTACGTTATAATAAACAACTGAATGTTTTGCTTCGTGGACATATTATAGTGGTCATGTAAGCTTCTTCTTGGACACCATTTGTTTGCTTATGTTCCCAAAAAACCGACGCATATAAAAGGCATGAAGTTTATTCCTGCCTCAACATTACCTCTCTCAAGACAATTTCTTTACTCCGAGATTTTTTCCGTTTGTCCAAGAATATCTGTTTTAATGCATAGGTCTTGTGATCACGTTTCGACTTGCACATGAAGACACTCCCAGCACTTCCTTTTCCAATATTCTGCATGACAGTGTACTTTTTATCGACATCGAAGGAAGGATATGCCATTTTTTCATTGCTGATCTGAAGTAGAATTTAGTTCTAGTAATTCATAATTGATAAAATACAGTTACTATTCCTTTTGATTATATATGCAACTTCAAGTTGTAATATCTTTAAGAATTTTTAAATCACCTAAATTTGTGAGCTGACATATTGAAGTCGGATTAGTCAGAATAACTGGCGTCTCCCTAGTATTTACCACACTACCACAAAATATTTACAAGATATATTACCATGATATTAAAGGATGAGGGGACCTTAGAAAAAGTTTTTTTCTCGTGCAAATCCTTTTATTACATTAATCGTATAAACCACTTTAGTGAAATCCGCAAAGTTGTATTTCATTCGCGCGCCGAGATATCCCGCCAAAACAATTTGAACCTGTGACGTCAATTATGTGAGTTGCTCTGATCCGCGCATATAGAAATACAGGTAAAATGAGCGTGCGGGCCGACTAAATTACTAATTAAGAATACATTAACAATTTACGATACTAACGAGCCTATAACCAATGGAGAGGAGACTTTTTATGACCGGTTGAAAAAAGAATTATCACCCTACGATAACCATGAGCCGAGATACACCTGAAATAAGATTGAAGTCACACAGAAAGGCATGTAAATTATGTATAGTTATAGCTCCCAACGTAACACCTAGCAACTCCCTGTATCGTACCACAGTTGATATATCAACATGTCATATCAACACAACACGGTTCTAATAAAAATGGATCGGGTAGGTATGAAATGCATGTCTTCATTCCAGTTGGACAAGCACCAAGCACCAAGCTTTTAAGTTCTAACTCACTATGTGACACTACTTATAACGTAAGCAAGATTTGCAACTATCACACCAAGCAATATTATACCAAGCATAGCAGACGAACACATCCACATTCGTTACGCTTTACACTCAAGTCACAGCAAACTAAAACGGTAAATTATAAATGAGTGTACAACTAAAGGCCGGTACACGCCGCATTGTCAAACCGCACGTGCGCACTCAGATAGGACTAGAGGCGCCAAGGGCCAGCTAGTAAAATGTCTTCTACTACATCATACATTTAATCGATTTTTAGATCTTTATTCTTGTATGAAGAAATATGCCGATTTTTAATTGTGTCCATATCGGGTTTCAAACAAGTCAAAACAAAATAGCAGTTTGTGGTTTAGTTAGCGGATGCTACTTATCTTAGCTATTTATAAATAGAAATACCTACTACAACTACAAGAAAGCCTTTCTGAGTTACATTTAACTATCAAGGAGAATTATTCGTAACTTAGATCTTGACTAATTCAGTGCAACCAAAGATACCGCTCTCGCAAACGCCAAAGGTAACACGGCGTAATTAAAACAGCACAGAACAAAATGCTGACACATGCGAAGGGTGCGCGCGCACGTTGGTCTTAACACATAATTGACGTCACAGCCCAAAATTGCTATCAGCCAATAGGAGCGCGGCGTGATATTGCACGAATTATCGATTTCACAGTCCGGCGTATTTTTTGATTCTACACACTTTCACAGGACTTAAACGCGAATATTTGGAAGTAAATTCTAAGGTCCCCTCATCCTTTAAAATATCGATGAAGTTGTAAAATACAAATTGTTAAGTATAATCACATAAAATTTGTTAGAAGACACATATAATATGGTGGAGACAAAAGAGCTTTACGACTTTGCACTTGGAACTCTGCTCATCGTTATCAATATTCTTGGGTATGTGAAATGATTTGGCATGGGTACATCTTGCTGAAAATAACATATACATTATACATAGTTTTTAAACCTTTTATGAAACATTATTAACACAAGTGAAATGGCCTTAGAGTTGTTTTGGCTCTGACTCTTATCTTTTACTTATTAAGAAAATTGTCTTACTGTCGATGATAACATCCAATATTTTTCAGGGTTGTGGCGAATATTAAGGTTATTCTGCAGCTGATAATTCTTTACAAACATTCCTGGTCTGTCACACATTTTCTCTATATCAACCTAGCAATATCTGATCTGCTAAACTGCCTTTTCCCAAGCACTGTCACAAGTCTGGGCCTTTTCAACAGAAGAAACATAGATTTCATGAGCCAAGCCTCTCTGGACATATTCGGATGGTTACTGTGTACATTACCAATAGTTTCGTTGTACATTATCTGCTGCATATATACTGCAAGAATGTGGGCTATTTACAAATCCCTAAGTTATAGAGCAATCTTTACTTGTAAACGCATGGCTGCTGTTGTTGCAATCTTCTGGGTTTTAGCTTGCCTGTATGCAGCCATTCCTTTCATGTGCTCAGTCCACTACATCTACATGAAAGAGGTTTCAATCATCACATTCTCTTCAAGCAGAGAATATCTCAACATTAGTAGCCCCGCAGAATCCTTGGTCATGATAACAACAGTAGCAATCATAGACTTTCCTCTGCTTGTGGTGTGTGTCTGCAGCGGATTCTCAGTTTGGTTTCTGCAGAAGAATTCTCTTCCAGTTACAGGTATTTCTTAAGTTTCTAGTTCAAGCTATTATGTGTCTAAAGTTATGCAATGTTTTTTGGTCAGTTCAGGTTGCTCATAAATTGGATATAATCAGTGGTCACCAAAATACGTGCAATCATCTCAGTACAGGGACAAAAGGAAATCGCGGCATGTACGGAATCGCGATTTTTCCCATTATTTGCGACAAATTTTATGTATAGTTTAATATACCGCGAAATTTAATTAGCAGTATCGCAATTTTTGGCCAAAATAACCGCGAAATCCTTTTGTCCCTGTCTCAGTACTATACAGTGGCGTAATGATGCATGTTGGTGGCCCTGTGCCCATAGTGCCCCCTTTGAGCACTCCCTCTCCCTTAGAAAGAAGCGATGTAATATTGAACTAATTAGGTGATTTGTGAGGATTCGCCGATGAAATATTATATAAATTTAAATGTTTCTAGAGCAAGACACACGATTTTGGTAGTATTATAGTTAAGTTTTTTAAAAATTTTCCCACATTCAAACGGTAACTATTATCTCAAAATTGTACTTTATGAGCTATTGTGTTCACAATCTCTTGCCTGTTCAATGCAAAGCTAAAATGATGAAAAAATGGAAGGTTACTATGATTTGAACCCTTTCTATCTAGCTAGTAGCCAGTGCTGTAGAACAGAATTTCTTGTACTTAATCTTCTTTATATCCTTTATGATCTTATCGGATCCCAATACTTATGTATGGTTACTGAACATGAATGGCTTTTCTTAACACTTCTGTCAGAAGACATAAACAAAAAATGTCGGTCATACCACCAAGCCGAACTGTCAGAGTAAAGCTTCCTGAAAGTTTTAATCAACTTTGAACTTACTAGATCGACAACTTGAGCAGAAATCAAATTCGGTATATTTGATGTTTCAATTCTTTTAAGTGCGATCAGCGATGATAATGATATTTGATATTGTTCTCATCAAACAATTCCAACTCATACTTCTCACATAGAAATTGGCAAGAGTAAGCCAAGTAAGGTATACATTGAGCAGCGGTGGATCATCCCTTTATCTCACTTATCCAGCATTTGAATTTAGATAAGCTGTTTCACAAATATTTCTTTACCTTCTCTACTCTCTGTTGTAAACAATGCAATATGATCTTAGATTATGTACCTCAAAAGTTATGTTGATATCAGGAAACTTCTGTGTGACTGTTCATACTAAATGACATCAGCAATCAGCATTTTACTGAAGCGGTGGGATAGGAGTCCCTCAGTCCCCCTGAGATCATTTCATCCGTAAAATTTGTATGCAGTTGATCAATGATCAATATAAAAACTACGATCAAATATTTACAAAATTTACTTAAAAAATCTAAGAGACCTCAAAGCTCGTCTTTTATTTTGAGGGATTAAGTGGAGGATCATTACTGGGCCTCGCCGAGTTGCAAAGGATTTACACCGTCAATTAACAGTTAACTGTATTCAAATTTGTATCACGTCGTGACTCCCATTGTTAGTTTACTAGTATCGTAGCGAAAGCCATGCACTCGTGCATCGTGCGGCAGGTCTACAACGTATGACAATCAAAATTAAACTTATTATATATATAGCTAGCGTTAACATTGTAGCGCGATGCACTACTGGGTTGCGCGCGCATCAAATAATGCTTCTCGCAACCACAGTATGCAGATCGGCGAGATGCGAAGGATTGACATCGTGAATCAAGCGTTAACACATTTCAAAACCCCCTCCTCTGATTACGTAATATTTGCCCCACGTTTTGGGCCGGCCAACATATTGTGGTTTTGATTGTCACAGCATATTAAATGAAATGAGTACGACGAGGACCACGATGTAAGACAACGTAATATGTGAACGGCCCCTTATAGTTAACGTGGCGGTTCTGAAGAACAAATTTGGACATGACTCGACAGTACATCGCTGTGCGCGCGCGTCAATTTAATTAATTTATAGGTACGCGCGCGCGTACGTACTACGTTGTACGTAATATATAGCGCGAATTTAGCATCTAGATGTATGCTCGCGTGTTACATTTTTTACAGATTTCAATGGTGCCCAGAGGGACAGAGGGTGCGTATTTTGTGAATCTTGACCCCATCATGAAATTTGCCTATTATTGAGCTATTACCAGTATTATTCTACATAATTCTAATTTATTTCGACTTAAGCTATTGAAAACTATGATTGAAATCAGTTATCGAGAATTGAGCCAGTAATAATAGGTCAGACATAATAATCTAGATGGGGCAAGCGTGCCACAAATCGGGGCAAGAAATGCTGAGAATACATAGCCTCCTTTTTAAAGGTATTTACTAAAATTGTGGTGCAATTTGCCCCCAGTAACTTAGAATGATTTAAGATTGTCTCCACTGGTTACTATATAATGCTTGGGTATAACTTTAAGAGTAACATACCATACAAGCTTGGACGAATTTCTATAAGCCAAGAATGAGATATCGTTCCTTATAATATAGTAATTTAAAGATATTTTCTTGTGTTTGATTCAATATCTTGGCACATTTATCCAAACTTTCACAATATGTCACTCTTATACCCATCTTAGGTGGAAGAAAATTGTGTATATTTAGATTTCAAGAAAATCGACCTCGTTCCAAATGTCATCCACGGAATAAATGGAACGGAAAGTTATACTCTGGGACTCGCATTTCACTATCTTTAACCTTCCTATTTTCAGTGATTCGCAACGAACGCAGATTTGATTCCGGCTTAACTAACAACAAGGAAGCAGGTATTAGCGATAATTTATATGCAATTTCATGCCTACGATAAAATGAAGTCTATTTAATTCAGGTTTCAGAGATCTCAGAATCAATTAAATGCACCGAATTTCATAACAACTCAAAGTGTTTCGTTCAAATAGCTAGATTTACTATAAATAAAACACGTTATTACGTATAATTTATGAAATATCCGCTCTCAGACACTACAGTCAGCGAGAAAGATGTCGCCACCTACACGATAATAAAACTACTCCTCTGCTTCCTTTTTTGCTATCTTCCCGGAGGGATACTGAGAATCATCTTCCTAATCCAGTCTATAGCTCCGAACTTGTTCGATATTATGCCTACTACCGAGGCTGGCAAAGAAAGATTCTTTTATGTTTATCTGGTACTTAATTTAGTGTTTATTTCTTTAAATTCTATGCTAAATCCTTTAGTATTGATACCGAGTACTGCAACGGACAAAAAAAGGAGGATCACCAAGTTAGAAGTATTAAAAAGATCAGAAACAATTTCTCATAACTATAATTGAATACTTCAATATGTTTTCAAGGTTTGGGATGAGGTTATATTAATATGTATGAGGGGTCGTTCATATATTCGTTCGTGATTACTTCTTTACGCATAGCTATTGTGTTCAAATAAAACTAAATGGATTCTTAAGATAAGAATATGGTTAGTCTTATTTAGGTCCTTTATTGGTTAGACTTGACTGACGTCTAGAAGTTTTACTAGTTGTACGATTAACAATAATTTCTTGCAAATAACAATTAATTGTACAATACAATCTGATTCCTGAGTCCGCTATTTATTTACTTAAAAGATTTAGTTATCCTTTTTCTATACGTACAATTAATTATTTTATGTTGTCAGTCTTCGCTAGTTGAAGAACAGTAATGTACACTATGGAAGCTGAAGTAACCGTCTATGAAAAATGAGTGGTTTTGTGAAATATGATAATTGCTTAAATAGTATAATATTACACGTATTTAACACAATCGTGACTTTTACTCCCGTTTTCCTAAAACATGACGTAGTATGAAAAGAACAATGATAAGAAAAGTAACTCGATATTTGATAAGGCCTTGTACGAGGGCTGCATAGTGCAGCTGCCCTTCCCTAAAAAGTCAGATTACGTTATCTGTTAGCCGACTTTTAAGGAAATAGAAGTGGCAGTTCTAGAAAAATCTACACGCAAGAGTGTCTGGTATGTGCCAAGAAGAAGTTCTAGGTGTTTCTGCCTGCAAAGTGACCGAAGTGAACATTTAGGTATTTGTAAGCAGCCGATTTGCTTGATATTTTGTGAAGAATGATGGGAGGAAGTGTGTAATGATTGTTGTCATAATATGTAATATGCATTATGGCTTATGTACGCATTAACTTTGTTAACAATTTGATAAAAATCGAAATTTTTAAACAATAAACAACGAATGAATTTTAGGTTGAAATCATTTAAATAAAAGAATGTTTAATGCAAAATTTGAACATAAATATTAGTAGCTGTAGTAATGTAAAGTGCTTATTGTTTCAGGAAAACCATCTTTATCTCCTCCATTCGCATATAATCTTGATGGCTCTCCTCTTGTGTATGTAGAGTTAGAAAAAGATCTTGGAGTTGATGTTACTCCTAAGCTAAGTTGGAATAGTCAGTGCGACAGAATTTATACTAAGGCCTGCCAACAACTTGGTATGGTCAGAAGAGATGGCCATATTGTCATTGATCAGAAACGTCGCCGGGCGCTTTACCTCTCCCTGGTTCGTAGCCAATTCGAAAATTGTTCCATAATCTGGCGCCCTTGTAATAAATCACTTAGTGATAAATTAGAAAGTCTCCAAAAGAGAGCTATTAAATGGATTCTGTCTGAAGAGGGCCGCAGTTATCCACCTGAGCAATATGTCAAAAAGTGCAAGCTTGTCGACATTCTCCCTTTGTCTCAAAAGTTTGACTTGAATGATCTTATTTTTTTCCACAAAGTTCTTAACAATTTAATTCCTGTATCGCTGCCTCACTATCTCTCTTTATATCAGGGCACTTCTCGACTAAGACGTTGCCACCTCGACAGTCTGTCTATTGTGTCATCAATTTTACCTAAGTTAAGTCAGAATTCACACACCACATGTACCTCAAATAGCCCACTGGCAAAATCATTTTTCTACAGAACCCATATACTGTGGAATGGACTCCCTTTACAGGTAAGACAGATTGTGTCTACTAGTCTTTTCAAAGCTGAGGTCACTAAGCATCTATGGAAATGTTTATTGGATAGTGAAACAACAGTCTAGCCTAGTCTCTTTGCTCCCCATATTATTATTATTTTTGTTTTATTAATTTTTTTATCTACCTTCCTATACTTTCAACATCATATCACACTTCACCCGCACACCTTCTCACACATTAATGACCATTTCAGACCTGTATCTAATGTATCTGGAATTTGACGTATTGAAATTCCAATTTTGACTCTATATCCACAGTTATTCACCATGGATTTGTTTGTTATTAAATAGTTTTTCATAAATTTTTGGATTTAGATTAATTCGATGTAATGGGTCCAAGTTACTGCGGACATAGTTCACTATGTGTTTACCGTGTTTGGGTGCCCATCATATTTTACAGATGGGGGCGATATTTTGAACGATTCTATTTTATATTCATCTATTGCTGTACTCTGTAAAATTTGAAAAGTATTTAATAAAAAAAGCTACACAAAAAGAAATTGAACGATAAAATAGTACGATCAAACTGCTCGCGGTGATAAAAATTTTGTTTAAAAATTCCAATTTCCAACCACATCATGATTTCATATTTTGATGTAAACTACAGATATTAATCAATTTAAACATAACTGACAGTGATGATTTAATAATGATATAGTATAAACTAATGTAACCAGCTAAATTATTGAAAACAGCAGTATTATAATGTTTAAAAAAGAAACAAAAAGCAGTAAACTCGACCGAACAAACTTCATAATTTTAACCCCAGCACGCACCGAGAGACAAGGAGAAACCTGGCTGACTAGCAACTTATGTTGAGATAGTAAATAATAAGTATTAGTTTCATTTCTTAGTCGTCTTTCTTGTCAGATGGAGTAACCAGATCCTGATGATAATTTCAATTAGAATTATTCGAGCTTTGTCATCTAAACCATGTATTATCAGTTCTTTTAAACCTCAGGGCCACAAAAATGGAATATTATTCAATAGACGTAGTTTTAAACCTTGCAGTAAAATATGTATTTAGCCTTACACCCAAGACAAAGTGATTAAACAAACCTGAAGTTTCTGATGCTCAGTAAGCAGTCTGTCATACTCCATGGTTAGATTCTCACTCTGTTTCCTCATAGCCTCAGCGTCTGCCTTGCTCTGTGATGCCTCTGGGAAATAGATACCAGGTTTAAAAGTTGAAGTGATAGTTATTTTAGAGTGGGAAGTTAGAGTTATAGTGCACTCCCTCGTTATAAGTTTAACATTCATAGCCACGAATAATCTCTAGGTCTATGTAAATTGTATCAGCAAAATACAATCACACGGAACACCGTCGGCTCTATGTATGTAATACGAACCATGTACTATACTTACTACTTGTACTTGATTAGGTCTCCTCAATCATTCGAGTGGCCTGCACCAATGAACTCCCGTTTGTGACGTATCATCTCCCTCCAAAGTTTTCGGTCACTAGCCATCTCGCTCGCTCCTTCTAGGTCTATGTCAGTGTTTCCTGTAAACGATGCAGCATCTTCCAGCAAACATTTCCTCCAGTTCTTTCTTGGACGGCCCCTAGATCTTCTCCCATGGGCAGGGGTCCAGTTAAGCAGGTACTTAGGAAGCCTAGTGTCTGGCATTCTGGTGACATGGCCAAACCAACGCAGGCGGTTTGCTCCTATGTACGTCTCTACTGGATTTATCTTTGCACGCTCCAGCACTTCAGTGTTTCTAACCCGATCGAGCCATCTTATCCTAAGTATTCTCCTCAAGCAACGCTGATGGAACACCTCAAAGCGATGTAGCTGCTTTTTGGTTGTGTTCCAAACCTCACTACCATATAACAATATTGTCAAAACCGCTGCCTTATAAATCCTGATCTTTGTATAAGACTGGATGTTGCGGTTTTTCCATATATTACTCAGTTGATTGAAGGCTCCGGAAGCTTTCTGAATCCTAGCTGACAGCTCACGGTCGATAGTACCGTCGCTGGAAATAATTGTACCTAAGTACGTAAAGTCACTAACTTGCTGCACTGGCGTGTCTTCAACAGTGATGTTCACTGTGGCTTCTTTCGTGTATGGCCGTTGAGAGGTTGCTTTACCAATGACCATAGCCTCAGTCTTTTTACCATTGATTCTAAGACCTCCCTGGGCACCATACATACACAAAAGGTCAGTTGTTTCTTGAAGACCTTCCTCGCTGTTATCCAGTACAGCCATGTCATCTGCATAATCTGTATCTAACACAGTGATATCATCAACGAGCGGACTGATAGATCTTTGAAGAACCGCTCCGTGGGACACCACTTTGTTGCTTTCTGTTCTCTCAGCAGCCACATTGAGGCAGACATTAAAAAGTGGGGGACCCTGAATGTCTCCTTGGCCACTGCCTGAACTTACTTCAAACCATTCTGATAGTTCACCATTGTGTCTAACAGCACTAACAGTTCCATTAAAAAATGCCTGTATTATTCGAATGTATTTACATGGCAGGCCATAATGACTGAAAGCTTTCCAAATATAATTCCTGTCGATGGAATCAAAAGCTGCCTTGAAGTCCACAAAATTTACATACAGGGGGAGATTATATTCAATGCAGTTATGTATAATAGTGCGGAGTGAATAAATCTGATCAATGCATGATCTGTTCTTTCTAAACCCACACTGATTGTCTCGTAGCAGACTTTCTAAACCGTCACTCATGCGTTGTAATATGATGATTTGATACAGTTTAGATGCTGTAGATCTTAGAGTGATCCCCCTATTATTGGAGCAATGAGAGGTATCACCCTTCTTTGGTACAATTATCACGATGCCTTTCAACCAGTCGTCAGGCACTGCTTCTGAATTCCAAACTTTAGAGAACAATTTCTCCATCCTATCCACAAGACCACTTGCCCCATACTTTAACTGCTCATTAGAGATTTCGTCAATCCCAGCACTTTTGTGATTCTTCAATTTTTTGAGACAGTTTAAAATCTCAAGTCTTGTGGGGGGACCATCACCATCACCAAGATAAGGAAAGCATGGAACCACTTCAAGATGGTCCAGGTCAGACATATCCGCATTCGTGGGAGGAGGGTTTAATAGCTCCGAAAAATGTTCTCCCCATCTATCTCTCTGAGCAGAGGGATCAGCAATCAACTTCCCGGATTTGTCTCTTACAGCAGTTGATTTTCGATTCTTCTTACCGGACAGTGTTTTTATCCGTTGCCAGACTTCCCTTTGACGTCCATGGACAGCAGCTGTTTCCAGATCTGCTGCAACTCTAAGAGCCCAATTCTCGTCGTCTTTCCTGCAGCTCTTTTTGACAAGTTTGTTGGCCCGAGAATACTCGCTCCTATTGTTGTTGTCATTAGGCGCCATTTGTTTAATCTTACTGCGTTCTGCAATAAGGATTTTTGTCTCCTGAGACAAATGCTGCTGCTTTCTGCGCCTGGGGCGCTCACCCAGTACCTCCATAGACACTTCTTTAATAGTATCCTTAACTAATGTCCATTCTCCATCAAGATTCTCCTCCATTGGTAGGCAGCTAAAACGATTTTGAAGAGCAATGCAGTACTCTTCAACCTTGGACTGATCTCTAAGATTCTCAATTGCTGGAGATATCCTACGAGAGGCGTTCATTTTTTGAACTGCCATAAGTTTGACTCTAAATTGACCCCGAACCAAATAATGATCGGAGCCAATGTCTGCACCCCTGCATGATCTTACGTCAAGTAGAGAGTGACTCCACTTGGTAGAAATACAGACATGGTCAATCTGATTTACTGTGCGGCCATCTGGAGACTTCCAACTTCCTTTATGAATATCACGATGCTGGAAAAGCGTCCCACCGATTGTCAACTGATGTAATGCACAGAAATCTAATAGTCGAAGGCCGTTGTCATTTGATGAAACGTGAAGGGAATGCTTACCAATCACACCGGACCAAGCTGAGTTATCTTGGCCAATGCGAGCATTTAGATCTCCAAGTAAAAACTTCACGTCATGAGCTGGTAGTTCATCAAATGCCCCAGATAGCTGCTGATAAAAGTCATCCTTTACCCCGACTGCTGCATCCTCAGTTGGAGCATAAGCTATCACAATCGAAATGTTGATATGTCGACTGTGCAGCCTCGCTGCAAGAATACGTTCTGATATCGGACTGTATGAAATCAATGAATTTTTAGTCTTCTTCGAGAGGACTAAACCTACCCCTTGTCGTCTGTACCCATCACTTCTTCCTGAGTTAATAAAGAGGGACCCATCATCCAAGGTAACCTCGCCAGTGCCGGGTCATGTACTATGTAACATTATATTAGGAGAATAGTAAATACACTTTACACTTACTCTTCTCAGCTGCCTTTACTAGATCCTTGTACTCCTCCATCTTCTTTACCTCCTCCAACAGGTCCTCCTTACCCTCGGTCATCTGTGATAGTGGGGTTAACAGGGCAGTTAGTGGGGTTGACAGGGCAGTTAGTGGGGTTAACAGGGCGATTAGTGGGGTTATTGGGGCGGTTAGTGGGGTTAACAGGGCAGTTAGTGGGGTTAACAGGGCGGTTAGTGGGGTTAACAGGGCGATTAGTGGGGTTAACAGGGCGGTTAGTGGGGTTAACAGGGCAGTTAGTGGGGTTAACAGGGCAGTTAGTGGGGTTAACAGGGCGGTTAGTGGGGTTAACGGGGCGGTTAGTGGGGTTAACAGGGCAGTTAGTGGGGTTGACAGGGCGGTTAGTGGGGTTATTGGGGCGGTTAGTGGGGTTATTGGGGCGGTTAGTGGGGTTAACAGGGCGGTTAGTGGGGTTAACAGGGCAGTTAGTGGGGTTGACAGGGCGGTTAGTGGGGTTGACAGGGCGGTTAGTGGGGTTGACAGGGCGGTTAGTGGGGTTGACAGGGCAGTTAGTGGGGTTAACAGGGCGGTTAGTGGGGTTAACGGGGCGGTTAGTGGGGTTAACGGGCGGTTAGTGGGGTTAACAGGGCAGTTAGTGGGGTTGGCAGGGCGGTTAGTGGGGTTATTGGGGCGGTTAGTGGGGCTATTGGGGCGGTTAGTGGGGTTAACAGGGCAGTTAGTGGGGTTAACAGGGCGGTTAGTGGGGTTGACAGGGCGGTTAGTGGGGTTGACAGGGCAGTTAGTGGGGTTAACAGGGCGGTTAGTGGGGTTAACGGGGCGGTTAGTGGGGGTTAACAGGGCAGTTAGTGGGGTTGGCAGGGCGGTTAGTGGGGTTATTGGGGCGGTTAGTGGGGTTATTGGGGCGGTTAGTGGGGTTATTGGGGCGGTTAGTGGGGTTAACAGGGCAGTTAGTGGGGTTAACAGGGCGGTTAGTGGGGTTAACAGGGCAGTTAGTGGGGTTGACAGGGCAGTTAGTGGGGTTAACAGGGCGGTTAGTGGGGTTGACAGGGTAGTTAGTGGGGTTAACAGGGCGGTTAGTGGGGTTAACAGGGCAGTTAGTGGGGTTAACAGGGCAGTTAGTGGGGTTAACAGGGCGGTTAGTGGGGTTAACAGGGCGGTTAGTGGGGTTAACGGGGCGGTTAGTGGGGTTAACAGGGCAGTTAGTGGGGTTATTGGGGCGGTTAGTGGGGTTAACAGGGCAGTTAGTGGGGTTAACAGGGCGGTTAGTGGGGTTAACAGGGCAGTTAGTGGGGTTATTGGGGCGGTTAGTGGGGTTAACAGGGCAGTTAGTGGGGTTAACAGGGCAGTTAGTGGGGTTAACAGGGCGGTTAGTGGGGTTAACAGGGCGGTTAGTGGGGTTAACGGGGCGGTTAGTGGGGTTAACAGGGCGGTTAGTAGGTTCAGTGTCAGTCTTCTCAAATGACATCGTGCTCAAAACACTTGATTGATTTTTTGTAAATTAATAAATTATGTAAAAAACAGTTGAATCGAAATGCTTGAATTTGTTTGTCAAATATGTATATTATTAGCTGTAGTATTAGTATTGGATATTTAGGCATTAAGCACTGCTGACAGGAAAAAGTCTCAAGTTAGGCAATATTATTTGTGTAAATCTATACATCCTTGAGTAAATGTATGTTAAATGTGCGTTTCGTACATGTACATTGTACATATATTATCACCACTGAAGCTGACTGCCTGACGCGGACTTCCAATTATATTATAAGCAGTCATAACATGACAAAATGAATTCTTAAGATTTGCCAGGTGATATTTTATCATAAGATATGGGAGAAGCGATCTCTGATCCAATCTAATAGTGCTAAAGTATTTACATCCGAAAACTTTCGCCAAAATCATCAAAATTCTTGTTCTTGAACAGCGAAAAAAACGCTAAAGTTTAACCCGATAATTTACCTTTTTCAGAGCACTGTTCTCATCAAGAAGAACTTTGTTCATGCTTCCAGCATTGACAGCTTGTTTCTGCATGGCTTCATAGTTGGCTTCAAGACGAGCAACTCTGCTCACTCGAGTCAGCATTGTTCTCAGTACTCTGACGAATACATGTTATGTTACTGAATTGTTTGTATCTACATAATATTGTGTCAACCAAAGAACAACCGCACGGGTCTAGAGTCTAGAGTCTAGAGTCTAGAGTCTAGAGTCTAGAGTCTAGAGTCTAGAGTCTAGAGTCTAGAGTCTAGAGTCTAGAGTCTAGAGTCTAGAGTCTAGAGTTTACAGTCAACAGTCTAGAGCCAACACGGTACATCACGCTATTGTACTACTGACTAATCAAACGCTTGTACACGGTAGTGTTCCAATTTAGTTAATACAAACTACATAATCTCATGTACTTTAATCTGCTTCATATAATACCCACATGAGAAGGAAGAGAGAGATTCCAGTAATGTAGAAGTTGCGCTGAGCACGGAACAGTTTCATCAGGATGTGTTCCTGAGCGGAGGGGCTAGCAGTATTGGTCATGTCAACCTTCTTGTCTTGTCCAGTGTACACGTACATCTCTCTGATAGAATCTGTAGCAGGGTCAAGTGTTAGTGATGTTTTAAGCTGAGTTTTAAACATATATATTATATCTTTAAATTGAACACGACGACTCGATATAATTTAAAAAACAAAGTGATCGTTTATAGTAGTAGTTACCTGCAAAAAGGATGACTAGAACTGACAAGAAACACACAAAGATCCAGTTAACATAGGAAGCGATAACCCCGACAACATCGGAGTTGAAAATCCTGTGCCACCTGTAGGATTGATTTTATATAGTCAGAGATCGGCAAAAATTCTGTAACAGCTGTACAACTAAATGTTTCTTCGAACGTCATGATCGGAATGTTAAAATAAGAAGTTTATAGTTAATGGCCAAAACGTTAAATAATGCTTCAAAGTCTACGACTTTGAAACAGCATAATACCCCATGATGTCGTTTATTTTTAATTCTCTTTGCTGTATTGTATATGTACTATTTGTAAAAGTTTCAAATCAAATCATAGGGAAACAAGTTTTGAATTCTAACCTTTATTTACAATAAAATATAACAAAGCTTCCGTTTTGACAGTTTTTAAAAGAAACTTTACTGGATATATGAGCACACAGAAGGCCACCAAACAACAACCAATAACGAAAAACAAACCTCTTGCACGATATCCATGGTATGCTGATGAGCAGTGCTAATGCTATCTCAGCATAGAGAAACCCAGATACCAAGACCCACTGAATACTCATCCTACCTGTCACGTGGCTAATGGTAAGGATTGAATTATGATAATGCTTTATTGTCAGTAGTATTATTGTGTTCATTTTAAATTACTTAGTGGGTTGTGGGATATCTTTTAGAAACTTGGAAGGTTTGTGACACAGGGCTTCTTCGACCTTACTTGTTTCGACCTTACTTGTTTCAAATAGAGTACTAAAGTAAATTGTAGAGTCGAGTATACTACTAAAAACATGACAGTTCAAGCCTCAGCTCGATGTTTGATAAAGCTGATGTTAGATGGTCAAGTATCACACAGTGATCAGTATTAAACTATGATTGATGAATATGATAATATGCACTAAAGTTTTAGCAGTGGGGAGAAGTTGGTGTTATTCAGATGTTATTCAAATGTTATTCAGATATTATTCAGATGTTATTCAGTGATTTAAACCTGGGAACGATGTTATTGGAGGGTAGATCTGATTATTAAACATTATTGATAGTGACAAAATAAATATACTGATAAATTGCAGAAAATTTGTTGTTCATGATAAGATATTTACAATTCAACAGGGTACATAGTTTAGCTTATTATAACATCAATAAGACGTTACATAAAATGTTCAAACCTAAAATTTGAAATAAACGATAAAGTTATTATATTACAACAATAAATGAGTCTCTATCTTCAGTGAAGGATAATTTAGCATTGTAACAATTTAAATATCAATGAAATGGATTACTTCCATTGCAAAATTGGATTAACTTTTAACAATCAATAATAGTAATACCTTACAAGACATATTTATAACGTACGAAATGTGGCGGTTTTCCGAAAATTTCACCATATTTTCGGACCGCCAAAATTTCGGTCGTCGTAATAGAATCCGTCGCGTTATCTTTTAGCTTATTTCAATGACTGTGCCTTCACTGCTTTATTTTGTTTCTAAAAAGTAATATCAAGTAAAATAAATAAATAAATTCTGGCATCTTGGGACAAATTATCACCACACCAATGACGAATTGAATGTCAAGCCATACAGTTTAAATTTGCATTAAAATACATGTATGTGCTAACATGAAAGTCTTACAGTCTTAATACAGACTAAGTTTGAACATGATTTTACCGAATTTCAGAAATTTCCTTACTGCTTACTGTCACAAAAAATGATGAAAAATACCCTTATTTTCTGTGACGTCCGAAATTTGACGGTTTTTGTTCAATTTCGCCATATTTTCGGACCGCCAAAATTTCGGTCGTCGCAAATTAGGCCGCCATAAATATGTCTTGTAAGGTATCCAACTTACAAAGACAGTTTAAAACCTACTTCTTCTAATATGATTTATTTGGAGCTATGGGAATCGATATATGTCATTAAATATATCTGATATATTCCAATGAATGAAGAAAATACTCCAGCAACTGACCCTGCAGCAGGATGAATCAAACCCAAACTCCCAGCAGGAATACTGCAGTCAACCAATTCCTGGAACATTTGCAACTGCACCTCTAACTTTTGCTGATGAAGTGAGTCTAATTTTGTATGAACATAGTGATTGGAAACTACCAAGTCTGAGCACGTATCAAGAGAATCCAGTAGAGATATTTCCTTCTCTAGGCAACTACTAATAATCCTTAGCTGTCTAGCATACAATGCTATTGATCCCATGTAACCTAGCAGCCAAAGCCAACTAGATATTCTAGCCCACTTAGTAGCTGGTGATTTACCTGATTCTGAAGTTAATACACCAATACGATAGAGTAGTTCAATGTGATCCGAAAGAAGCCAAACACATTTACCAAATCCTGACACAGCCCTACCAATGCCATCTACTTTGTCAGGATTTTGCAAAGCAACAATTCCTTTATTGAAATAAAAAAGATCACGAGTTGTTCTGGTTATCTTTCGAGTTAAAGTAATCTGTTGCTCTAGTTTGACGATTGTGCTACAAACATTAGTCCTGGAGCTGTAGAGAACAAATCGCAAGATATACTGAAGCACACGGAGAACTTTGTCTTGTCCTGCTGTTTGTTGGAGTAGCTTCACTATAGGGTCCATGATTTGGCCCTAAAAAGGGGTTCGGTTTGAACAACAACATTTTGTATCTTTCAGTGAACATGACATAGGAAATCCTATCATTGAATTAAGCTACAAGTTCCTTTTTAATGAAGCCTAAAAGCCACATTCGATATTGATAAAAATAAATGCTCAAGTGCCTGAGAAACTCAGCCTTGTTCAAAGGATTCAGAAAAGAATCTTAAACACTTTGTATTTATGAACCGATTGTCCAGGATCATTTTTGGAACAAAAATAGGCTCTTCTTATAAGAATGTTTGTTACAAAGTGACACATCTGTGAAAGCAATGTTTAAAAGATTGATTCTCACATCCGAATTTTGTAAAACTTATGTCAGTTCAGGCTGTCATATGAACCAAACCTTGTGGATCCTTTATTATAATGGTACTTTTGAAATCCTTGGGGGCCGTCCACAATCCACATGTTACGTAATCAGCCGAGGGGGAGAGCTTGAGGGGGGGGGGGGGGTATTTTAACTGATTGCGCTAGTGAAATTTTGACACAATAGCTATTTGTAAAAATGATTACAGAGGGGGAGGGGGAGTTAAAAATTGGCCAAAAAGTGATTATGCAATATGTGAACGACACCTTACCTGGGGACCTCAGGCTTTTTAGTTCATAAACATAAAGAAGACATGGAAGAATGACAGGCTAACAATGTGAGATCGTTACGCCACTGCCGCCCAGTAACGGAATCATAGTGTGAGTACAATTAGTAAACTTGTTAAATTTATCAACAACAGCTTTTAATTTACAGAAGTACGAAAGGTCATTCAAACAATATTTAAATACAATTAAATCAAGTGATGCAATTGGAAGAGCACAATCAATTTGAGTGTTGAAATTAGCAGAACACAATAAATAGGTAACGGAAATGGTCCATTGCTACCAAAATTTTGTTGAACTTCAAATATATACACACAATTTTCAAAACACATCATCTAATCCATCATCGGGGCATGGATGAGGTTGTACGAGACTTCTAATAGAGATTAGAGGGGTCTCATGTTTGATGTTAAATTTACCCACTTAAGATAACGAAATTAAATGTTGAAGGATAAGTGATATAAACTTTAAACTCTGCAAACCGAATACCGTTAAATTTAACATATATATATCAGCAGTATAGAGTTAAGATAATTAGCAAAAAAGTACGGTAACGCTCGATTCTTTGTCATACGTTGTATGACCCTCCGCGTACGTGGCTTAATAATCTCTGTGCGCGGCGCTCTTTTCAAGCTTCCTGAAAGTTACACGATTTACACGAAATTTGAAAATTTATTTGTTATACTGGAATAACAACAATTTCAAAATATAAAATAAATTACTTCCCTCTAATGTAGAACATATAATGAAATTGACCATTGTTAATGGTCTGGCCCGACTTCGAAGAAATTTAGACGAGTAACATCTGTCAAATGATGAGAAAGCTTCAAACATAGCAATGAAAGGAAGCGGTGTCTCACCGCAGGGAGGTAAATTAATACCTGTATCAGTGTATCGCGATGAAAGTGAACGTGAGAGGAGCAAGCAATTGATTCACGATGTCAATCCTTCGCAGCTCGGTGAGGCACAGTGGTGCATCTCGCCGATCTTGCGAGACGGTCGCGCTAAATCACTCTACAGTCGATTCTTCCATTTTCACCACTTTTAGTTTCGCATTGGATAAGCACATGTTATACGCGCGCGTTACGTGTCAATCATATTTGATCCCGATTTCTTACTTTGGGTTTCAAACTTGCTTGTCGAGTTTTCGTCAATAATCAATTATCATCCATGATTCATCATTGCCACTTGTGTAATACCTTGAAATCCTATAAGTTGAATGAATAGGTTTTAAAATTGTTGACATAGCATAGAAGGACTGTTGTCAGAATGTAGAATGATACAGAGCCGCCTTCAGAAGTTAAAATTGTTGAGCCTTATTTTCTAGTGTACTGTTTCGTATGACATATGAGTCGAGGTACAAATAGAATTTTTCGCTGGATCAAAATGCTGAGATTTTAATATAAAGCTAAGCAAAGCCAAGTATCAATAAACTAGTTTAGATTACGCCTGATTGCTTGAGTCCTATTTAAAAATATTTTTGATATGTGATCCTAGAAGTAGAATCACAAATTTTGCATTCGTTTTAATTGTGTTTTTTTTATGCGAAGAGCATAATATATTGTTTTTCCTTAAGCCAGCTGATCCAGCTATTGTAAAAGTCTACGGTCTAAAATGCTGCTTACTTTAGAAACACTGCGCTTCTTATTTGAATCATTAAATCTAGGCTGCATAAAATGATAGGTTTTCGGATTTTGACCTGAGCAGCCGAAACTGATATTATTATTATTGTTATCCATATAATATACTATTATCGATGTAGTTTAATAGACTATAAATGTATTATATAACCTGGTTTTATTTCCATAGAAGTGTTTTTACCAGTTACTTTAGTAAATTAACAAAATGTACGTCTCCACTCTGCAGTTCCGACTGCAATTCGAACTTTGCCGTCTAGAATCTAGTGTGAATATTATAGATATTTACAACAAATATTTTAATTGGTAATCTTGTTTTGCTTTACTGGGCCGCGCCAAATCTTTATTCAATATGTTAATGAACATAATAGCCTGGGGTCCTCAGGTAAGTTTTGCTCTTATGAGTGGGTCAATCATTTATTTTTAATTGTAGTTGACGAAATCGTAGTATTAATAGATTATTTTAACATTGTATCTTTGCAGCTATGTAAGTTTTCAGTACGTCCTGTTTATGACAAAGGCATGTAGCCGAAACGTCGACAAAGAATTATGTTTTAACACACTGAGTGGAGACTCTCATTTCGTCAACTACAATTAAAATATTTTAATTATCAGGTTCATCAGCATGGGACAAGTTGCAGATCAACCGCCATATAGGTACGTACTACAAGTTTTCATTTATGACTCAGTAATACAATTAAACAACAAGTTAA